TACCTCGGGTACCTATGTCACCACCACCAAATTTGGTGTCACCACCAAATAAACCTAGGTATATTTTCTGATACAATCTATGTTTAATATCCGGGTTTAAAATTCTTACCAATTTAAGTTGCTTTGCATCTGACATAATTTTATTATTTGACAGCTGCGCTTCATCCTCCTTTTCGGAACCGCGGGTGGCGGAGGGTCGGGGGGAGCGCCACCGACAGGCTTGACCCGTTGTGTGGCATCATCATATCATCGTGTGGCACACGATGAGCATTTCAAATACCCACTGCCTTCCCCCCAGAAGGAAGCGGGCATTTTTCAACGCACTTCTTAGATTCAGTCGTTTCCATGCCGAAGCTATCAGGTACCAAATACGGCCCCACGATCGTCCCCAAGCTTGCTCGGTCTATGGCCTGATGTGATTTAAAATGAAGATGCTATCTGTACCTCTCTTCCTCTTTTGAGGAACTTGATTCATTTATTTGTCAGGTTTCGGCCGTAGTGGTTTCAATGGCACGTGAAGTTCTCTAATCAATAATAATTAATTATTTCAGGAGGGAAATGACAACACATGGAAAGATTCAACGCTACCTATATTATAAAAATCAGACACAGACCTAAGTACAGAAACTGAACAGAGTTATTGTCAAAAGCTAGGTATAGCACCGGTACCGACTGGCAGCTCACTACTCAAATGACCGCCTCTACTAAAATAAAAGAACTGCTAACTCAAGTTCCCCAACTGGTCATTATCGGGTTTGGGACGGAGACACCAGTGGACACTGAGGACTGGTCGACTTTTCCGTAACTTGATCTTCCGTAGTTATTGTTAATCGACGGCATCGCGGAATCTTCATGACACCTTGGCTTGGCGCTCCCTCGATGGTATCTCTTGATGCGCCTGTGCTGGTTTAGACTCCCGACCTTAGGTGAAGTCAATAACGGGACTCGAGATCCGTAAAAAAACGGCTTAAGTCGAACGTGGGAACTGATGAGTAGTACGAACTCGCTAAGAGCTGATTAACTCTAGTCGTATAGAAGATTCTTTAGAATGTGCCGTGTTTTCAAACTCGTCCGCAATGGTATTTTCCAAATTCTACGCTCAAGCGCACATAGACGTTCGCGGAATCCTCGGAATCTTGTCCCCGGTCTTACGCAGGCTACAAATCTCGTCGCTCGTCACTTTCGTTATGCTTCCCTAATTGGCAGTTGCACGCACATCAGTTGGCTCGCTGGCTCAGGACTTCTTCCTGACGCACGCCCATGCAACCCGCAACGGAGTATTGCTTTGATGTTATCCCTAAATGATCCCAGAGTTTTACCCCCATAAACAACAACATCCACTTAACCCTATATTTTGTTATTCGCATTAGCCCCCCAAATTATACCATAATCAACGTTCTTAATTCCTACTCTCTAATGAGACTGGATTCTAGTCAACCGCTTATTTTTCTCGTGCAACCACAGTGTAAAGCGGATATGGAGCCGCTAATTCACGCGCTGGGCAAGCTAAAGGCGTAGCCCCCAAAATTTCGATAGGGTTTTTGGCCGAAGAAACACTGCCATCACGCCGATATTTGGCCGCCGATTATACGCCTATTACATCCCTGAATTCTTCTTCATATTTTATTCATCACATGGCATTTCTATTCAGGAACATGACTAGTTGACTTAATACTAGCTAAACCTATACCTAATTGTTATTCAGTACAATTTACAAACAAAAGGCCTGGGAATTTTTTTTAAATCCATTAAATAAAAGAAAAACAAAAATATCAAACGAGACAAGTTAACAATTCTATAACAAATCTGAGGTACTATACAATTAAAACAGTTATGTCAACTTTTGAATTCGATAGCCTACTTAGGCCTACCTACTCTTTTTCCTTTATAGTCAGTCACCTGGCAGAGCACTGGCTGCTGTATGTGTGGAAAGCTTTCAACCCTTGAGTGGAAACTGGAAAGCTTTTTTTACAGGTGAACTTCCATTCCTAGAATTCCACCCTGGGTGAGATTTAATTTAGGTAGCCTAAGATAGTTTACTAGGTAGTCTACACTTAAACATTAAAGGACTCAAAAAAAGACTTTGGAGTCTAATAAAGTGTCTGCTTTAATACAATGCACTTGAACAGTGGATATTTTCTTCCTAGGGTGCAGGAAACTTGTTCAGTTCATGATACCTACATTATACCATATTTTTATAATAAAGTAGGTAATAGGTATATCATATAGCTAATAGAGCCATATTAGTATCAAGCATAACAATTCAAATTCAACAATTTAAATCTGACAAATATTATATAATTTCTATTCATGCAACTGCAAGCATAATAGTATTTAAGAGCAGTAATAGCACTGGGCTTACAAAGGATTTTTTAAACTCATTTCACCAAAAATAGCTATGGAAATAATTGTTCAAAATTTTATTCAACTTCCTATGGGATAATAGGAGTAGGTAAATAAATCTGCCAAGCCAAGTATCTTATTACCTAGAAGTAAAAGTAGGAACAGAAAATGAGAAATGTCCCCAATCCCCAGAATTACAGGGTCAACACCAAAACTCTCGTTAGTAATCTCGTTTGCCACCATGCTGAGACATGCTGCGCTTGGCCAAGTGGACTTAGCCCTAGATTTTAAGGCACGTGTGGTGTAGCTACCGAAGCGTTACCGTAACGTCATCGCCTGCATCAATACAGCATCATAGCTAGTTACCTACAATTTGATAAAAACTAACAAAGCGACAGGCGATCGAGGCGACGCGACAGCACAAGATACTGATAGTAATAGACGACAATAGTCACAAACCAGTGATTTACATCAATAAAATAATTTAGAATAATCTCATCTACTCAATGTTTCAACTTTTAATCAATTTCTTACTTGTATCATTGTATGATAATGCTACTTGTAGTGTAGTAGCCTACTAGGCTGCTAGGCATAGCCTGCTATCCAAAATATTTGCTAGATTTAATCACCTTAGCTTTACTGAAGACGTAATAAATTTAATATTCTAGCCTCACCTTACGAACAATTCGACGGCTTTGAAACGTGAAAAAAAAAACTTGTCGGAACTGCAAGTTCAAGTTGCTCTTTCTGCAACGATGAGCAAAGAGTGACCTGTGCACTAATGCAATGTTGCCACAAGCGTCATACAAAGATAATTCTGATACTGTTTTTGAACTTTATTCTATTTACCATATTATTATAAAAGGAATGAAAATTTATCGCTTATTTTAATTGATTTTCCTCCGATATATATGATGCAATTTATGTTAATTGGGTCAACTTTATACATATATAAATTTGATTTCCTAGCAACTCCGAAATATTTGAATCTAAACTTTCACACACTATGTTAATTCAATCAACTGATACCTGAACAAAAGGCCCTAATTATATTTTTTATAAAAAGATTACTTTACAGCCTTTTGGAATTGGAATTGAGTGCGTACTGACCTCCGGTCACGACCTTAAGATCGGTCATACACACAGTGTCACGGCATCAGTTCTCTGGCTACAGAGATTTCCGCCGTGGGTTAATCCAAAAGTCGTTACCGTGAAACTTTATTGAAATCTTGGGTGGCAACCTAAACAACGTAATCTGCAAAAAAAGCGATAAAAAATGATTTACAATTTGTCCTATTCTTTACAGACTCAGAGAAAATTAACTCGACGAATTCTGTATCGAAACCATAAAAATTTCTAAGAATGAACAATGGCTGGACAAGGTACTGCGCAGTGCGCATGAAACGTCACTGAATGCCTAGCTTTGAGTATTTAATAGGAAAACGTATACTTAATCGTTAACACTGAAATTTATAGCAAAATGAATGCGCAATAAATAATTTGATGGTCACAGAATTAAAACTCACGAGGATTGCGGCTCCATCATAAAGACGTGAATGAACACTGAACAGTGGACAGACATGAAGCGGAGCGCAGCCGACTTCCAAGTCAAAGTGAACAATGACGAGCAAGAGCAATAACGCTATGACGGAGCGTCTCTAAACTGAAATTACAAATTACAAAATTATCGCAGGAGTCAGGACTATCGTCGCATGAGAAGTAAAAAAAAGGCAAAGGGATAGGTTTATCCCTATAAGCTGTAAATAATTGAATTTAACGAAAGGGAAATTTCTCGGGCGCGACACACTGCACAAAAATGTTTCACTTCGCACTCTGCAGCTTAAAAAAGTTTATTGGCATGAATTCACTACAATCCTAATAGACTAAAATTATTCAGTTATACATGTCAGCATCCTGATAGAAAAAGAAAAAATATAACTCAGTAATCACTGCAGTGAGTGACAGAGAGCGCATTTTCTCGTCGACGAAAACTTGAGGTCACGGACAGACGGACAGACAGACAGACAGACGGACGGACGGACATGGCGAGCACAATAGTGCATTTTTTCCATAAATGAGAAAATGCGCTAACAATGCACTAAAACATTCAGCACAGTCACCTCTGCCTTCCATTTGGCGTCGAAAAATGTTCATTAAGTGTAAAAAGTAATTATATTTTGCTCGAAATGACTTGATTTTCATTCTCAGTATATATAAGGTAAATCAGAGATCTTAGAACGAGTAGCAGTGAGTTCAAGTGTTGCAGGTATGCACACCTACTACTCATTGATAAATAAACACCTACTTAATTTTTTCATGAAATTGTATAGTATCTGTGATTTGGGGAGATCTATTATGGAGTCAAGTTTTACAACACATATAAAACTTAGCGTTCCCTAAGTAGTTGCTTGTTACTGTTGTTGTCGTTATTTACGCCGATGATCATGTGCGAGAATAGGCAGCTCTGCTGGATGGCTGGCAGAGGCCACCGTAAGAGGAGGAAGATTAGCAGAGGCAGTGTGAGTGGTCAGGAAAGATCCTGTCTCAATGGTAGTTCGGCTAGTTCCCTACAGTGAGAACAGTACTACAGACGTTTAGAGTCATAGGTGAGAAGAAGTTGGAGAAAAAATGCTGGAGAAAAAAAACTGAAAGCTCACCAGGCCAAATGGGCAGACAAGGGAATGATGCCTTCCTCATTGCGTAGATGGTTTATTAGAGTCATTTTGAGCCCACTAGTGGGCTAGTGGCTAACATGAAGGCTGGGTTATGAATAGTTTTATGGGCGACTACTGTGAGGCGAGGCGTTGACGTTCCAAATATGGTCAGCGTAGCTGAGCATTGATCGCTTGACTGTAACTAGGCGCAGAGCTGGGCAGCGCTACCGCTATCGCTACATGCTCAAAATATAGAGGCGCTACCGCTACCGCCACACCCAGTAGATTGTAGCGAGCGCTACCGCTACAGTAAAATGTAGCGCCGCTAAATATTAGCCGCTACAATGGCAAAAATGATTGGAAATCTCCAAATATTCATTGTTCTGCTATTGGGATTTACTCATAAACATTTAATGATATTAATACAATTTCAAAACGTATCACTGCAACGTTATTGCAATTAACCTAACCGAACTAGTACGGGTTAGATGCAGTAAATAAAAGTTAGTTATTTTTATGTTTTACCTTCCCTACATGGATGTCTACTTTAATCTACCAATCTCGAAAATTATCCACATATACACATAAAAAAGTCTTTTATTTGTATATATATATACATATGTGTGGATTATTTTTGAGATTGGTAGATTAAAGTAGACATCCATGTAGGGAAGGTGAAGCATATAAATAACTGTGCAAAAATAACTGTAAGATAACTGAAACATGAAAAAAATACCTGTAAGTGGTAACTGGTAACAACTTAACAAGAAACAACTAACATGTTGACACTAGTAACAGGCTGAGGTTGACAACATTACACCGAAATCTTTCGTACAGTTTTATTCTGTAATTTATATTATGTATGTATCATGCTGGTTTTTAAATAATATATAATAATATTAAGTAAAATATAAAGGCTTTTTCTATAAATTTAGCGGTAGCGCTGCAGCGGTTAAACCTCGTATCGCTCCTTAAATATGTAGCGGGCGCTACCGCAACCGCTACAATTGCTTAAATGTAGCGGTCGCTACATGTAGCGCGCTACTGCCCACCTCTGACTAGGCGGCAATTAATCCTCCTTCTATAAGAACCAGTTGCTGCCAGCCAGGTCTTTTAGGATGCGTAGGATTCCCGTCGCTTCTGTGGCCATGGCCTGTAGAACGTCTCGCTTTGAAATCATGTTGCAAAGAGATGGCGAGGTAGGCCGAAAGGTACATGAGTAGGAGTCGCTCCAGGATCTTAGCTGCTGGGCTGAGGAAGGTACTTGTATGGGCGGTAGGACGAACCTTGGTCACTTGGTTAACCGGGGTTGAGGATAGGGATAGTAAAAGGTTCTTCTAGATGAGCAGAATGGAAGCCGTATAGAAAGAGATATTGAGCAAGTGTTTTTTGTGGACTGGAGCCCTCGGTTAGCCCAGGTGCATGAGATGAAGGAACGTGCATGAAGCCATCCGAAGTTGTAAGGGTGAGTTGCTGGCAGCTTTAATAGCAAGCTTTGCCAGGTTTGTGCCAAAGAAGGCAAAGCCTCTGTCGAGACCTAACTTTATGCGTCGAACTCATTCCGACACATAAGGCGGTGGATGGTGAGGCTTTGATGTAAGGGGACTGTTGATGTGAAAAGCTTGCAGGAGGAGTTGTGTATCTTGCGCCAAGAGATAAGGGGTGTGGTTAAATTGTATGTACTGGTTAGATGGCGGGCAGAAACGCTTCCCGGAAAGAGAGCGATAGAGCTTCTAGTTTAAACGGGTGGAGCAAGATTCGCCGTACAACAGGCGATGACGCATGATAAACTGGTGCTCATAGGAGCCCCAGTTTATTAAAGAATTATTATTAGAATCATTATAATAAAATTCGAACAAAATATAAAATAAGTCCAATCTTCCAAGTCACATCATTACACTTTTTATGCTCAGATACTGATATAAAAAAAGGATCAAACTTTGATGGATCAAGTATTGCTCAAACTATCTGAATTTACGTGGAAAAAACAGAAGAAATTTAGTTACTCCAATTGCTCTTCCTCCTTTGCACTCCAAGTACAGTCCTTATGAACCTCGTTAGCCATGACAGGAGTCCTCATCTCATGCGGTTCTCACCCCATGTCATTCTCACGTAATGCGGTGCTCAAAGCATGTCATCCTCACGTAATGTTGTGGTGCTCACCGCATGTCATCTCATGTAATGTTGTGGTGCTCACCGCATGTCATCTCATGTAATGTTGTGGTAATGCGGTGCTCAAAGCATGTCATCCTCACGTAATGTTGTGGTGCTCAAAGCATGTCATCTCATGTAATGTTGTGGTGCTCAAAGCATGTCATTGTTGTGCTGCTCACCGCATGTCATCCTCACGTATTATTGTGGTGCTCACCGCATGTCATCCTCACGTAATGTTGTGGTGCTCACCGCATGTCATCCTCACGTAATGTTGTGATGCTCACCGCATGTCATCTCATGTAATGTTGTGCTGCTCACCGCATGTCATCCTCACGTATTATTGTGGTGCTCACCGCATGTCATCCTCACGTAATGTTGTGGTGCTCACCGCATGTCATCCTCACGTAATGTTGTGATGCTCACCGCATGTCATCTCATGTAATGTTGTGCTGCTCACCGCATGTCATCCTCACGTATTATTGTGGTGCTCACCGCATGTCATCCTCACGTAATGTTGTGGTGCTCACCGCATGTCATCTCATGTAATGTTGTGGTGCTTACCGCATGTCATCTCATGTAATGTTGTGCTGCTCACCGCATGTCATCCTCACGTATTGTTGTGGTGCTCACCGCATGTCATCCTCACGTAATGTGGTGCTCACCGCATGTCATCTCACGTAATGTTGTGGTGCTCACCGCATGTCATCTCATGTAATGTTGTGCTGCTCACCGCATGTCATCCTCACGTATTAATGTGGTGCTCACCGCATGTCATCCTCACGTAATGTTGTGGTGCTCACCGCATGTCATCTCATGTAATGTTGTGCTGCTCACCGCATGTCATCTCATGTAATGTTGTGGTGCTCACCGCATGTCATCCTCATGTAATGCTGTGGTGCTCACCGCATGTCATCTCATGTAACGTTGTGGTGCTCACCGCATGTCATCCTCATGTAATGTTGTGGTGCTCACCGCATGTCGTGTTTTAGAAGGTTGCCGCAGAGGCCAGAATCGTCAGCCGCTGGAACGTCGCCTCTGATGTCAGGATCAGAGACGCTGCTTCATTCTTTGGTGCTGTGATTTCATTGACTATAATATGGATGTGATTATGATTAGACCTACAGAGCAGGAACACGAGTAATAAATGCGTGCACAGACGAATAATGCCGTATTGAATCCTGCATCTCTCTCATTGACAAACATTTGAAAATGTACGAATACTGTGAAAAAGAAAATAACTCGCTGGTTGCTTGCATTAACTTAAAATTTATATCAAAACTGATAGAAACATTGAACTTGGGATGAATAAGAAAAGTACAACCTCAGCAGGTTGATTAGTTTGGTTCAACAATGCATAGAAATAAAGTAAGAACTCTTTCATATCAACTGTGCGCTAGATTACCAGAAGAATCGTTTTAAAACGTTAACGCTGCAGGTTCAAATCCAGGCCCAACGTGCATATCCGGGTTCAGAGCTCATGTGAAATATATTTCTATTTTATCTTCAGTATAAAAATTATAATAAATGCTGCGCAGGTTGTATCGATGAAAGTAAACTCTTCGTTTTGTGTACAGCAGTGAGCATGACCGATGTGATGCGAAGTCGTTGACGATTTGACAGTGCAAGCTGCAATTTAAATGACTATTCGAGACCTAATATTAGGAAGTACAGCGTTAGTAGATCATAAATAAACTTTATCTGGACATGTTTTATTCTCTTAGTATCTGCGTAAATGAAGCTTCATGGTCAGAATAAAGATGTATAAATCCTGCATAAATGTTGGCGAATGTAAATAGTAAACAGGCTGATGGATGTTTCATAATGTAAATTATAAAAAACGAAAATCATTGCTAAAAGGGAAATTGTAATTTACCAAATTTTTCTTGTTTCGTGTGAACTTTAGAAACTTTATGTATGAAAATATCTTGTATTACGGTACATATCTTCACAGATGAAATTGATTTACTATCTTTTGCTACATAGGTTCATTAGCACATCGATATTTCTACTATTCAAGCGAAAGACTATCGGACTCGATGTCGTTATCAGAAGAAGCAAAAACTCAACTACCTCTAGATTGCTAATAATAAAAGTGAAATTAAACTATCCATCGATAGTGTAAAATATTCTTTAGAATTAATTGCACTGAGATGCATCCGAACACTATTTTAATTTGAATGAAATTGTTCTTAAACAAATATTTTAATATTTCAGAATCATGTCCCTTGCTGAAATGACGTCTGATGCAGACGTTTCAAGTTCAGGCGTCTGAAGTAACGATCTCCGGCAGACGAGCGGAAGTCTCGTCCTGCAATGTGATCGAATTCTACAGCTTCGATCAAACGGAATTTGAGGACTGTTTATCTCTAGTTACTGGAGACCTGGCTACAGAAGGGGCAGGAACTCTTTTAGAAAGGTAAATTAGAGAGCTGAGGCATTCAGAACTATTAGGGTTCACTGCTATAGTAGTTGACTGTTACAAGTGCTTGGATCATGGATCATTTATATGTTGTGTGAAAATTTTTATAATTTTGTGCCATTCTCTTGTATATTTATCGAAAAGTAATTTTTTCTCCTACACGACTGTTGATATTTTAAGCTATTTGGTTTTCATGGAGTAGTTATGAAATCTTATAAGCAATTACTTCATATTTCGAGTTTACAGTTTTCACTTGCGTCACTTGAAAAATTGTCCAAACTTCAACATCAAATGAGAAACTAAGACATTGAATATATAGATGTATAAATATATAATATAAATATATACAAATATTAATATTAATATTAAATGCCAGGATTTACTTGTTTACACACGTGCGATCGATGACCAGAGAATTCGTTGATTTCTATTATCAGTGAGTGGAACTTTTCTTCAGATGGACGGCAGAT